CGCGGGCTCGCCGGGCTCGCGGTCTGCGGCTGGAGGGGCGCGGGGAGGAGGCGCTGCCCCTGGCGCTCTGAGCCCGCCCTTCCCTCCCGCAGGTACAACGAGTCCCTCCTGGAGGAGGGCAGGATGATGCACCGGCTGAGGCACAGCCGCGTGGTGCAGCTGCTGGGCGTCATCATGGAGGAGGGGAGCTACTCGCTGGTGATGGAGTACATGGAGAAGGGCAACCTCATGCACGTGCTGAAGGCGCAGGTAGGGGCTGTGCCCGGCCCGCCGCGCTGCCTAGGTGGCTCGTGCGCGGGCTGATCCTTTGTCAGTTGCTGGGCTATTTCGGACTTTGCGAAGTCAGCCGCTCTTCAAATCTTCCTTGAGTTTCCCTGCCCAGAAGGTGCGCGCACCCCCTCTCAAGCCCTGCGTACAGCGGCCCATCGCCACTTGGAAGGTCCCCTCTAGGTCGTAGTGTTGAAGGTGGCTTTCGTCAGCCGCTCTGAGCCCAGAGGCAGGCACTGTCTTCATGAAGCACGCGGTCGGAAGTGGGGCGCGTGCATAACGGGTTAGCTAAATATTGACTGATGAATGATACATGAGCAGGTGGAAGATGAATGACTGCACTTTGATGCCACTGAAGAAGCTCACAGGTTAAATATAGAGCCCCAGAGTAACAACACTGGATAAATAAGGTTTAGAACAAGGAGATTTAAATTGTCTACCAAAGCCAAAGAGGTTTAAAGCATTTTTAAAGTGTACGTACCTGTTCGGAGCAAGGCCTTGTGCTGGTTGCTCAGGAAGCAACAGCAAATGTGACTCAGACGAGTAAAGGGACAGACCAGGAGACGAAAGGTCCAGTGTGTGTGATGGCATTCTGATGGACGCCTTCCTGGTGTGGGGTGTGGGTGCACAGGACAGGCTCTCACCCCAGCGTGCGGGAGATGGGAAGGGGTTCCAGGAGGAGGATGCTTGAGCCAAAGTCTGATGGACAAGTAGAGGCTTGAAGCAGAGAACCAGGGAGTCAGTAAGTGTTCAGCAGAGAGAAGGTCATATGCAAAGGAAGGGGAGCCGAACCAGGGAAACTGCAAATGCTGGGGTTTGGGCCGAGCAGAGATGCACACGTGGGGGTGGCGGGGCGTGACTGTCCTTATAGCAGACATCCCCGTCTTCCCACCTCCCCCCCCCCCCCCCGCCCCCCCCCCCCCGAAGCTGTGTCAGGTCTCCTAAGTCAGACACTGCTCACAGATACCTGCGGGAATGAGAAACGATAATCACTTATACACGTCTTGGTGTAATTTGATGAGATCGCTCCTCCTCCCCAGACTCGAGTCCTGCTACGTGAAGTAAGCAGGCATTCTGATTGGGAGAAAAACTGGGACAAGAGACATTCTGCCGGCTCAGGCAGAGATACGGTGCCTCAGACAGGGCTCAGGAAGAAATTCAGGGGGACGTAAGGGGGAAGCAGAAAGAGGGCTCAGAAGTGTTTCCTAAATCCAGAGGTACACGGGGAAGCGGGGAGCTCTCTAGCTTTTCTTTATATGGTGGTGACCAGGCTGCTGATACTGTAGTTCAGCTACGTTATGACTTAAAGACGTTTGGGGGCTACACATACATTTTTAGGAAACCGTCTGTAGACTAGAGACTGCAGGGCATGCGTGCGCGCGCACACACACACACACACACAAACACAGTGAGAGGTTGTGTTTTTCAATGTTAAGCAAAACTAATATTTAACTACTTTAATAGAAACTGGAATTACTGTCTGTATTAACATTGATGTTCCTGTAACTAGAATATAATTGTAAGTAAGGGTGACCTGAGAGTCTGCAGAGACTTGAAGTATCTGATACCCGATTACCCTACATGTTTTTAAGCAGTGGGAGCACATTCCCTTGTATTCTTTTTGCTCTTATTTCATACACATACTTCCATGACATTGTTCGCGTATTTTATAGTAGCACATCATATTAGTACGCCGTAGAGGATATTTGTGATTTTTGTTTACGATATCTGTTCATTCAACAAGCATTACAGGCATCATACAAGGTACTCAGGCCACATCCTAAATAATAATAATAGTGATGATGATGTTTGGTTCTCAAGAAGCTTAATTTTATAGCATTTTTACATACAGCCATATTGGTACGGAAATTTTGCTTTTACACCGACAAACCCAACATTAATGCCCGTAGCACTGGGATGAAATCTTTCTTGAAAAGGGGCTTGCTTTGCGATGACAGCAGCCCTGCAGAGGATGATAGAAAAGGAACCTCGTAGCCATTCCCTCAGGTTCTGACCCCGTGACTCTTGAATGAAACAGGTGCTTTGGCTTCTTGGATTACCGTTCCCTCTCACAGACTCACTATCACTCGTTTTAGATCAGTATTCCTCTTTCTGTGAAAGGAAGAATAATTATGGAGACCATTGAAGGAATGTGCTACTTACACGGAGAAGGTGTCATACACAAGGACCTAAAGCCGGAAAATATCCTCGTTGACAGTGACTTTCACATTAAGGTAAACCGTCATCTAAAGGCTCCTGGAAGACTGGGGTGACTTTAGATGTAATTCTCCCTGGAAATCCATCTTTGGACATGGTAGAGGCTAAAAGAGGAGCCAGCTCAGCTTGTAATTGGTAACGGTAGGGCCAAAAAGCCCTACCAAGGAATAAAAGGAAATACAGACTGGTTGGGGTTTATATTTCTTATGTATTCCTTTACTTTCATCTCTTTTTTAAAAATCAGTCTCCTTTTGAAAACTCTCTTTCCAGTGTAGTAAAGGGAAAGAGATTTTCCTTCCGTTCACTCAAGAGCAAGCGTTAACTAGGTGCAGCATCTTACCTGATTGGCTTTGGCAGCAGCCATCTAAGCACAAGCACCTGAAAGGGGAAGCCGCACTGGGGGGAGGACTTGGGAACGACTTGCACAGGCGTCCCTTCACCACAAGACTCTGCTTCTAACACTCTGTTCTAGTCTTGGACAGATATTTTTATTCCTATGTCTTTAAAAGAACGTCCTTCTTTACATTAATAACTTGGCTCATTGTTCTGGGTTAGAATTTGAGGATTTTAGATAATCACATGCCAGAATTCATCCCCAAATGCTTGGATTCCTTGAGCAAAAGTGAAACTGTGACCTCCGGTTTCTTCACTGCATTGTTCTGTCGCTTTGCCCCGCCACCTCCCTCTTTGTTCTGTGTCTGACCTTGGTATTTTTCTCTTTGCTTTTTTGTCTGTTTTTCTCCTCCTTCCCATCCTGTCTTCTCTTAGGTTCAGGCTCGCAGCTCAGAGCACGTAGCACTGCAGTCCTTATCCTCAGTGTGTCTTGGGGATCCTGGGAAACTCGCATCCACGGGCTTCTGGACGCCTTTTGGGGAAACAGCAGGTGCGGCACCTACTCACCGCATGCTACGCACATCTGCTGAGACCAGAGCACCTGTTTTTCCTAACCTCAGAAATAGTTGAAAAACACATGCAGGATAAATGAGCAATGAGAACAAACATGTTTTGTTGTTTATCTCAGAAACATCTTCTGCTTCTCCTCCCATCAGTCCCTGCCTCAGGTTTTACTGTATTAGAGTTGAGATACCAGAATTCCCCATGGACATTTATTTCTTAAGGGGGATTTTCCAGATGGCTGAGAACATACAGTGTCTGTGAGTCTGTTCAGAAGCAGCTGTTTTAAACCTGTTAGTGCAGCCATTTCTGGAAATTTCACTGTGCCCTACATCTATCTACTGGATCAGCCCCAAATTTAAAGAGAAACCTGCTGTGCCTTCACAGGACCAGCCCACTGGTTTGCTCTCTTGCAGATAGCGGATCTTGGTGTCGCTTCCTTTAAGATGTGGAGTAAGCTGACTAAAGAGGAGCATAACGAGGAGAAGAAAGCGAGCAGCACCTCTCAGAAGAACGGCGGCACCCTCCACTACATGGCCCCCGAGCACCTCAACGACGTCAACGCCAAGCCCTCGGAGAAGTCGGACGTGTACAGCTTCGCCATAGTGCTCTGGGCCATATTTGCGAATAAGGAGCCATATGAAAGTAAGGCCTTTACAGGGGGGTGGGATTTGGGTGTAATTCCAAGCTGCTTGGTGGAATCATAGCCCTCAGCGAAGTCGGTTAGGATTCATCACTGTTTGCTCACTGCGTGTCTGTCTTACCCGCTGGACTGTCTGCGCCCCGAGGGCTGGGACCACACCTGGTCTAGTCACTGCTCTCTCCCAGTATCTGCGCACACTGTGCCTGGAACATAGTAGGTGCTCATTGTTGAACGAGTGAGTAATCTCAATTTAGGGATCAGGGACCGTGGGACAGATAAGAGCCCTGATTACGCATTGAAGCTGGGGAGGTGCTGTGATGCTCCAGGACTCCTCCGGGACGGGAGGAGGCGCGTGCTCGCTTCTGCCTGTGAGGAGTCTCCCCTTCGCGCCACCAGCCAGATACTCCCTGCTTCCCTTCATCCACTGCTCCTTCCTTCGAGAGTTGTTTCTTTTCGGTACTTACCGTGGGCACTTTATTTGGAACTGAGAATACAGAGAGAAAGACATGGCTTGTGCAGGAGAACAGATGCGCCCACAGCCTTTCCTCAGGTTGTGAAGAACCTAAGCTAACGGGCTTTTTCCTCCACACCCTCCTGGGCTGGTTGTCAGCCCCCGCGGTTTGACCATCAGCTCTCTGCTGGCGCCTCCAGATCTCTCCTCTCCAGCCCTGGCCTGGGTGGCCACCTGTCCGTGAGTCAGGTCCAGTCCGTGTACCAGAGAAGCCCCCAAGCAGCATCTCCTCAAACCAGTTCACCTTCAGTGCACACCCCTCGCAGCCCACTCAGCTTTGCTCTTATGTTCAGAAAATGGCATCACCGTCCAGCCACCGACTTGTCCAGCCAGAAACCGCAGCCCTCCCAGATTCAGCCTTGACCCTCATCTCCCATGTCCAGTCAGACTCAGAACCTGTGAGTTCCAGGTATATGCGACTCAGGAAGCATCCGGAATCCATCACTTCTCTCTCTCCCCGCAGGACCCTATGAGTTCACACCCTGTATTTCTGTGCAGGCTCCTCACACAGCCGCCGCTCACACCGCAGCCAGGCTGCTCATCCTGAAACGCAGATGGAGCCGTCTTCTCACTCATCTATTTAAAACCCTCCCAAGACACCTTTGCCTTTCAGGGTGAAGTCCCAGCTCCTCAGTAGGGAACACAAGGCCCTTTCTGACTCGGGTTCGTTTCTCTCTCTAGCCTGGTTCCTCGCCTCACTCCCCTCAGTCAACACACCCAGTCACTCTGATCGTTTCTGGGACACATCATGTTTCTGCCACTTCCGAGCTGCTCATGTCCCACTTTCTTAGCCGGGAACCTCCCTCCCTGAACCCCCTTCCTCATCCCTCACCTGGGCAACTGCTTATTTCTGGACGCAGCAAAGCCCGCTCTGCCCTTCCAGTCCCAGGTGTGTTACCAGAACCCCTTGCGCTTGCTTCTTGAATAGCAATTATCACTCTGTATTTTAAGTCTCTTACTAACCTGAGCTCCTTCATGGCAAGCGCTGCCCCACATGAGTGGGTGTGGGAATCTGGAGTGTGTCACTGACCTTACTCACATACTCCGCTCGTTCTACCAGGCGGCAGCCTTGCTGTGAATCCTGTCTTCTGTCTGCAGCAACAAAAGTGCTGTCTGGTCGCCTCTGCAGTGGGGCACACGGGTCGCTGTGCTGGGGCCGTCCTGCCCTGCCAGATGAGGCAGCTGCACTAAAAGAGAAGTGGCACCGTCCAAGTTCTGTCACCTCCTGGCTGACAGGAGCAGGGCCTGGAAGAAAGTCTCAGCTCAAGTCCCTTTTTGCTTTGCAGATGCCATCTGTGAGCAGCAGCTGATCGTGTGCATTAAATCCGGGAACAGGCCGAGCGTGGGGGACATCATTGAGCACTGCCCCAGGGAGGTCATCGGCATCATGAAGCAATGCTGGGACGTGAACCCAGAGGACCGGCCAACGTTTGCTGGTGAGAGCGGTCCCCCACGGGCTGATGCTCCTAGTAACATGCTGACAGGAAGTTGCTTTGAGTTTTTAGAAAAGTGAGTTCTACTTGTGATTTCAAACACTTTGTTCAGTGAAAAGATGCCATCCCTCCCCAAAGCATGAAGGCGTCTAAGGCCCTCGTTTCTGGTTTTTCCCCCGATAATTAGCTTTTTAAAAATTTTGTTAAAATATACACGGCACGTAACTTACTGTTTCAACCACCTATAAGCGTCCCGCTCAGCAGCATAAGCCCACCCACCGTGCTGTATGTCCATCGTCACGGTCTGTCCCCAGACGGCTTCACCTCCCCCAGCTGAAATGACCCACTGAACAATAACCCCGTGCTCCGCTCCCCCAAGCCCCGGCAACCGTCAGTCTACGTTCTGTGCCTGACTTTGACTGCTCTGGGAACCTCATGTAAACGGAGTCATACAGTGTTTGTCCCTTTGGGACTGGCTGCTTTCACCGGGCACAGTGTCTTCAGGGCCATCCATGTCGTAGCCTGTCAGCACCTCCTCCCCTCCTGCTGCTGCGCGCTCCCCCGGGGTGTGTCTGATGCCACATTTCGTCTGTCCGCTCGTCTGCTGGTGGATACTTGGGTTGTCTCCACGGGCCTTCTTGTTCCTTAGCTTCTCTCTTTTCTTTCCCCTCCCCTTGTGCAGCTGGCGCCTCTGGACATGCAATTTCTCACCTGGATTGGGCCCACAGTAGAAGGGGAAGGAGAGGGACTTGGATGTTTGTCACATCCTTGTACCTCTTCTCACGTCCCTGCGTCACCGGGGACTGGCCAGGATCCTAGAGGCAGAGGATAAAAGAACATCAGAGGAAAGAGGAAAGTCAGGGGAGGAAGAAATAAATCATAGGAAGGAACTTAGGAGCCGGCAAAGGGTTTTGTTCTCACTCTTCTGCTGTGGGAAAACAGAACTGAAGCGCATCTCCCGCTGCCACCAGAGGGTCAGAGGCGGGATTTGGTCTAGTTGCCTGTTTTCTTGTTCCCTCAGTCAGCCTGAATCTTGTCCTGGCGCGGTTTCTTCCCTTCTCTCATGCTTGCTTCACTTTTTAAAAATTAAAATTCTTATTTTGAGATAACTGTACATTTACATGAGTTATAAGTAACACGGAGACGTCCCATGTGCCCTTTGTCTAGTTTCCCGCCGTGATAACATCTGGCCAAACTACAGCACAGTATTACAGCTGGGGTCCGCACACGGACAGTCAGAAACGTCTCCATCACCACAAGGGTCCCTCCCCCTGCCCTGTCATAGGACTAAAGCTGCTGTGAATATTCATGTTACAGGTTTCTGTGTGAATGTCTTTATTTCTCTGGAATAAATACTCATGGCATGTGATAATTTCATGTTTAAGTTTTTCGGTTTTTTTTAAGAAACTGCCAGACTGTTTTCGAGAGTGGCCGTACCATTTTGTATTCTCACCAGCAGTGTGTGAGCGATATAGCTTCTCTGCATCCTTGTCAGCACTTGGTGGTGGTGTTCCTTTGTATTTTAGCCATTCTGGTAAGCATGTAGCGGTATGTTGCTGTGGTTTTAACTAGCGTTTCTCTGATGGCTAATGACACTGAGTATCTTTTCGTACGCTTGTTTGCCACCTGTGTATCTTCTTTGGTGGAATGTTGTTCTATGTCCTGCCCGTTTTCTATTTGGATCTTGTTTTCTCACTGTTGAATTTAGAGTGTTCTTTATCTATTTTATATAGTATTCCTTTGTTGGATATGTGGTTTTTAAATATTTTCTCCCAATACGCAGCTTGTTTTTCATTCTCTTAGCAGAGTCTAAGTTTTTTATTTTGAAGACTAGTTCATTAACTTTTCCTGTTATGGATTATAGTTTTCGTGTTAAGTCTAAGAACACTGTCAGGGTTAGATCCTAGAGATTTACATTAAAGTCTGTGCTAAGTCCATTTTTTTCCTATGATTGTAAATGAAAATTCATTTTTGCTACAACAAAACTGATTTGGATAGGAGACCTTTTCTCTTTTCTAACATATCTGTTTAATGCCATACATTTCCTTCTCAGCACTGTTTGGTTACGTCCCACAATTTTTTTTTCTTTTTTTCTTTTTTGTAGGGGGAGGTAATTAGGTTTATTTATTTATTTGTTTTTTAAATGGAGGTACTGGGAATTGAGCCCAGGACCTCGTGCATGCTAAGCATGTGCTCTGCCACTTTGAGCTATATCCTCTCCCTCCCACAAATTTTGATACGTTGTATTTTTGTTCACTTCAGTGCATTTTTAAATTTTCCTTGAGACTTTCTCTTTGATCTATGTATTATTTAGAAGTGTGCTGTAATTTCCAAGAGTTTGGAGATTTTCCTGTTACCTGTTATTGATTTCTGGCTTGATTTCATTGTAGTTAGAGAACATATTCTCTATGTCTCAATTCCTTCAAATTTGCTGAGGTTTATTTCAGGCCAGGATATGGTGTATCTTTGTATATGTCCTATGGGCACTTGAAAATAATGGGTATTCCGCTGTTGTGGGGTGCAGTACTCTGTCTCAGTCAGACCTTAATTAGTCGATGGCGTTGTTGGGTTCTTCTGTATCTTCACTGACTTTGTCTGGTTGTTCTTTTAGTTGTTAGGAGAGGGCTGTTCACGCCTCCAGCTCTACCTGTGAATTTGTCTGTTTCTGCTTTTGGTGCTATCATCTTTTGCTTAAATATTTTTTATGTCTTTTGTTTGGTGCCTGTGCACTGAGGATTGTTATGTCTCGATGAATTGATCCTTTTATCATTATTTAAATGCCCGTTTCTGTCTCTAGTAATCTTCTTTGCTCTAAAGTCTACCTAATTGGATATTAATATTACCACCTTGCTTTCCTTTTATTAATGTTTATATGATAGACCATGTTTTTACTTGAAGCTGCCTATAATCATTATATGTAAAGTGAGTTTTTTGTGATGGCATATAGTTGAGTCTTTTTTTTTTAATATATTCTGCCAATCTCTGTCTTTTGATTGATGTTTTTAGACTATTTACATTTAATGTAATTATTTATCTGTTAGGGCACATGTGTGCCATTTTATTTTATTTTCTGCTTGTTTTGTTTTTAATTTCTTTTTCCTGCATCCTTCAGGTTCTTGAACATTGTTTAGACTTCCATTTTGATTTATCTACAGTATTTCTCAGTGTAGTTTTTCTAATGGTGCTCTAGGTATTACATTTACTATACATAATTTATCACAATCTACTGATGTTATAAATTTACCAGTTTGAGTGAAGGATAAAACCCTTATTCCCTTTACTTCCCATTACCTTCCCCTGTGTATAATTGCCTTAAATATTTCCTCCATGTACATTCAGAACACATCAGTCTTACAGTTTTGCTTCAACTGTCAATCATAGTTTAGGAAACTCAAGAGGAGAGGGGGAAGCCTGCTGTATTTACCTATCCTTTTTATTACTGTGTTGTTGTGTCTTTTTTGGCAATACTGCTTCTGACACCAACTGTGTCACTAGCAGGGTGTCCTAGAATTCTGATATTACCTGGCATTATTATCAGACTCCATTTTTGCTGGGTTGACAGTCTCCTTTTCTGTTGGCACTTAAGAAATATTGTGCCAAAGTTGAGAAATCCTCTGTCATTTAAGGTTTTTTTTTTATAGGTAAGATATTCGTTTTCTTGAGCTCCTTTCAAGATTTTTTCTTTGTGTTTATTTTTCAGTTTAATTATTATTTGTCTTGGTATGGATTTCTTTGGGTTTTTTGTTTGGGTTTTGCTCGGCTTTTTGAATCTGTAGGGTTATGTTCCTTGTCAAATTTGGGGAGCTTTCAGCCATTATTCCTTAGAGTACTTTTTCAGCCATACTCTGTTTCCATTCCTTCCAAGATTCTGATGACAGATATACTAGATCATTTGTTATAGCCCCACATATCCCTAAGCTTCTGTACATTTTTTTTCTCTCAGTTTATCTTCTCTCTCTTGATCGTATTGGGTCATTTTTATTGTTCTGTCTTCCAGTTCACTGACTTTCCTCTTTCTCCTCCATCCTACTATTGAGCTCATCTACTGAGCTTTTCAATTTGGCTTATTGTATTTTTCAGTTCTAAAATTTCATTGGCATTTCTTTTATAGCTTCTACTTTTTTGTTGAGGCTTTCTAGTTTTTCAGTTCTTTCTAAATTGTTCATATTGCTTATCAAAGCATTTTTATCATGGTGGTTTGGGAATCTCTGATGGGTAATCCTAGTATCTCTGTCATCTTGGGGTTGGCATCTGGGGTTGACTGTCTTTTTCACTCAGTTTGGGATCTTACTGTGTCTCAGTATGATGAACGCTTTTTCTATTGAAACGTGTACATTTTCTTACTGTTAGGAGATTCTGAATCTTCTTTACGCTTCCTGTCTTACCTGCCTTTTTCTGACATGCTTTGACAGAGGAGGGGTGGCTGCCACCTTGTTAGTGCCAGGTGCAAGGAAGTCCAGGTTCCCCACTTGCCCTGCTGCATCTGAAATGGGGGGGGTGCTTCTTGTTCCTACTGGTCGGGGTGAGGGTCCCGGGGGAGTCCACGAGGTTTCCATGGACACCGTGATGGAGGTGAGAGTCCTGACTCCCCCCAGGCCTCTGCTGATCTGGGAAAGAAGCATCTTGTTCCTGCAAGGTGAGGACACAAGTCCAGCCTCCCCCTGTAGTACACTGACATGACAGGACTGGAGGGGCTCACTGCCATCTGACCGGAAGGAAGGTCCTGGCTTCCTATTTGGCCTTCTCTGACATCACCCTGCTGGGGTGTTGGAGCTCCCTGTTACTGTCTCCTGAGGTAGAAGTCTCTAACTTTGCTCGGTCAGTCTTTGCTGATGGGGGTGGGGGTGGAGTCACACATTTTTCTGTGGCATTTGGCTGAAGAGTGGTTATTGACTAACCACTCTGTCTTGCTAGGCTGCGCCTTGCTTAGTCCTCTGGCCAGAAGGAGCAGGCTTTTGTTGGGCTTTTTTTGTGGGATTGCCAGCTTCTTCAGGTCTAAGTCCAATTTATGAGGCAAAAAGAAAACCCAGTAAGCTCACTGCTGAGTCTTTCCTCAGACCCCAAAGTCCCTAGCTGGTCTGCCTTTGCCTCTCCTCCTTTCAGAGTCTCCTTGTGTTTATTTTACATATAACATATAGGGGTTCTTGTTGTACTTAGCGGGAGAAATAAGGAAAAGTTTGTCTATTCCATCTTCCCAAAAGTGGAAGTTACCTTTTTCTTTTAAGACCAGTAGCTCTAACTCCTTATACCAAATCCTTACTCTGAGTATTCCATCCTATAATATACCAGAGCGACAGAAACCAGGAGTCTGCTCATCCTTTTTCACTGGGAAATCAACTCATATTAGGTGGAGCTTTGTGCTACAGCCAGAGAAACTACATGCTATTAGGCAGGAGCCCTTGGATTCCAGTGTTACGCTATCCTTTGTTCTGTCTATGTAGTAATTAATTAGTCTTGTTAGTCTCTTTATGAAAGGCAGTGATTTGGCATTTAAACATTTATTTTACTGCTTCACCCACAGATTAAGGTAAGTAATTCAAAGACAATAGACTACTAGTACTTTAATTTTATTTTAGAGAATACTTAAGAAATTTAAAGTACTTTTTTTTTTACATAGGCATTGAAGAAAAATTTAGACCTTTCTATTCAAATCAATTAGAAGAAAATGTAGAAGAGGATGTGAAGAGTTTAAAGGTAGGTAACAAAGCAGGTGCTCAAAATGTTAAAATATTAAAGCAATATACTGTCAGTCATGAAAACCAAAGCACTATCATTTATTACTGAGATCTGAGGTGAGCTAGCTTGGTAACCACATAAAACAAAATGAGCAGTTTTATGCAGATAGCATCAAGTTGGCATACTGGACCCATTTGTCCATTAAAACTAACGAGATGAGAGAAAGTGTATATAGCAATATGGAAACAAAAGCACAACACGACTGGAACAGAATGGAAAGCACCACAGGTGGACCGGTCATTCTGAGGAATTCATGAAAGAGAGAAAGCCAACAGGACGGCACCTGCTGAGACACGTGCCGGGAGAACTTTTCGCAATGGCTAGCCCAGAACAAGTGCTGGAGGAGCAAGTCTCGGGTCAATGTGTAGAAGAAACATGGTCACCTGTGACATTGATAGGGACTGTCACTTGGGAGCCATGGTTGTGTCAGTTTTAAAAGTTAGCTTCTCTCCCTAATTCCTTTGTGCTAAACAACAGATGGGAGCAGCAGCTGTCTAGGGATGAATCCGTGAGTTTGGTGCTTGGGATCAGAGAGGCACGTCCAAGCCTGTTACCAACAAACAAACGAAAAGGAACAAAGACCTCCCCTCCGTACACACTCAGGAAGCAAGCTGCTGTCATAAGTCTAACAGCAACACACTGCTATAATCATGAAATGGACACTACAGTAAATATAACAGGCAGGCAGACGGAGATTTTAAAATGCACACACACAGACAGTCAAGAATTGCCAGACTTTTGAGGGATACCTAAAGAGAGACATCCAATAAAACCAAGAAAGTAACCAGAAGGACATCAGGAGAGATCGTCCCTAAGGCAAAAGAGCGCTACTGCAGCAGTCGGGACTATCTCATGGTGGTAAGTTTCATTTCACCAGGAAGATAATAACAGCTTTAAGTGCGTATATGTCTTTAATATACGTGACTTCAAAATATACAAAGCAAAAATTGATAAAACTCAAAGAAGAAATAGACAAGTCCATAATCATCATTGGAAATTTTAATGCAAATTTCCCTTTAGTTGATAGAACAGACAAAAAAAATCAGTAAGGATATAGAAAATTTGAAGAACATTATTAACACATTTTACCTGATAAAAATACATAAAATGCTACACCTAATAACTGCATTTCCCTCTAAAGGCTTTTCAGGAACGTACAGAACATTTTCAAAAACTGAACATGTGCTGGGAAATAAAACAAGCCCCAACCAATTTAAAAGGACTGTAATCACATGAAGAATGTTCTCTAACTACATTTCAGTGATGCTAGAAACTCATCTTAAAGGATACTTAGAAAATCCCATGTAATCGTAAGTTAAGAAATAGACTTTTAATTACCCTTTGGGTCAAAAAAGAAATCACAGTGGAATTTAGAAAATATTTAGAATTGAAGGCTAACGAAAACACCAAAAACACTACAAATTAATAATTACAGAATATACTTACTAGTAAAGTGAACATGTATGTAGTAAATATAAACATATATGCTCTTATGACTGTGTATTATGACTAGATATATGAAAAGCTAAAAATGAATTAGCCAAGCATTCATCTGAAGAAAACAGAAAGCCATAAATAATCAAGAAGAGCACAAATCAGTGCTATAGAAAACAGCTAACAGACGGTCAAAAAAGCTAAATCTTGGGTCCCTGAAAAGGCTAATAAAATCTAGTAATTATGAGTGATCAAGAAAAACAGACAGAAGACAAATAATGGAAAAAGAGGCATCACTACGGCTCCTGCAGACACCAGAATGATAGTAAGAGGAGATTCTGAACAACTTTTTGCCAATTCACTTAAAAGTTTACATGAACAGACTTCTAGAAAAAAATACAGTTGACCCTTGCACAACACAGGTTTGAACTGCATGGGTCCACTCATACACAGAGTTCTTTTCAGTAAATACATGCTACAGTACGGGATCCTCGCTAGGTTGGATCCACGGGTGTGGAACCACCAGCACAGAGGGCCAGCTGTAAAGTTATGCTTGGATTTTTGACTGTGAAAGGAGGGAGTACCCCTAACCCCCATGCTGTTCACACGACAACCATCTAAGTTAGCAAAACTGGCTCAAACAGAGATAGAAAACCTGAATATTCCTGTAAGCATTCAGAGGCTGAATCAGTGATCAGAAATTGTCCCACAAGAAAATTCCACAACCAGAGAGTTTCATCAGCGATTTCTGTCAAATATTCAGTGAAGAAATTATCCTAATTTTATACAACTTGTCCAGATAATAGAGAAGAGGAATCTCTCCTAAACCCACTTTATGAGACTAGCATAACCTTGAGTCCCAAACCCGAAAAGAAGATACAAGAAACGAAAATTACAAAACAATTTCACTCAATAATATAGATGTTAAAATCCTGAACAAAACATAAACAAACTGAATCCATCAATGGACAGTAAAGGCTGAAAAAGGAGGACACGCAGTCTCGTGCATTACTGGTAAAAGTGCAACTTGGTGAAGTTTATTGAAAGGTGAAGTATCTATCAGAGTTTTAAAAGCATGTAACTTTTGCTACAATTCTACTCTTTGCAGTCTATCCTACTCACATGTGTGCTCAAAGATTTGGAGGTTTTTTGCACCTCTGTGAGAGTTAAAATTTGGAAATGACCCAAATGTCTCTAAGTAGATGTAGTAAATGATGACTCATCCAAACTACAGAATACTGTATAGTCATTTAAAAGAGGTAGAAACCAACAAATGACATGGAAAGATCTTCAAGACTTGTGAGTAAAACAGTAAGTCACCGAACAATAGAGTGTGGCCCTTTAGATCTTAAGTAAATACATGTATGTGTGTGTGTGTGTATATATTTGTATATTTCCATGCCCAGAGAGAGTAAAAAGAGCCACAGCATACTCTGGATAAGGATTGCCTCTAGAGAATGGAAGAGAGTGGGGCTGGAAGGAGTGACATTTAAGTGTTGCTCTGTGTGATTCTGCAGTTTGAATCTTTTAAAAGAAGTTTGCATTTATATATTTTGTCTAATAAAAAATAACTGGAAAAAGAAAACTGTTTTTGTAAAATTAAAGTAACAAAAGTGCTTATCATGTTAAGTAAAAAGCAGTACACAAAATGCTACAAACTTGCACGTAGTTAATGTCCTGTGTCATTCATTCTCCCTTAGATCATTCATATGTTCATTCAGTGACTCTTTTGGGTCATGTGCCTATGGAGCAGGCACTCTATCAAGAGAAAAAGTAAAATATGACTAGGGAAAGGATCTTGAAATACAAAATGTCAACTTTTAATTTTTTTCATTTTAGTGTAGGTTTCTTTTTAAAGATAATTCTATACATTTTCTGTATTTTTTATAATGAGTATTATTTTATAGGGGAAAAGTTTTTTTTTTAATGTGGTAAAATGTACATAAAATTTACCATTTTAACCATTTTAAATTATACAGTTCAGTGGCACTAAGTACACCCATAATGTGCAACCATCACCAATATCCATTTCCACTTTTGTTGTCCCAAACAGGAACTCTGTCCCAAACAAGTCCCCATTCCTGCCTCTGCCCAGCCCCTGCTCACCTCTGTTTTACTCTCTGTCTCTATGAATCTGACTATTCTAGGGACCTCATAGGCAAGGGCTCATACAGTATTTGTCTGTCTGTGTCTAGCATATTTCACTTAGCGTAATATTCTCAAGGTTCATCCATTTTGTAGCATGTATCAGAACTTCATTCCCCCTTTTTTTTTTTTAACTTTTTTTTGAGGGGGAGGTAATTAGGTTTTATTTATTTATTTAATGGAGGTACTGGGGATTGAGAACTTCATTCCTTTTTAAAACTGAATAATACACCATTATATACATATGTCACATTTTGATTATTTTTTCATCTGTTGATGGATACCTGGGTTGTTTCTACCTTTTATCTATAATGAATAATGCTTCTATGAACACCGGTGTATAAGTATCTTTTTGAGTTCCTGCCTTCAATCCTCTGAGGTGTATACCTAGGAGTGGAATTGCTGGATTGCATAATTATATATTAAATATTTGAAGAACCATCAAACTGTTTTCCATAACAGCTACAACATTTTGCATTTCCACCATCAATTCACAAGGGTTCCAGTTTCTCTAACACTTTTCATTTTCTGGATTTTGTTTCGTTTTCATATCCATCCTAATGAATGTGAAGTGGTACACATCATGGTGGTTTTGATTTGCATTTCTCTAATGACTAATGTTTTTGAGCATTTTTCATGTGCTTATTGTCCATTTTTATGTCTTCTTTGGAGAAATACCTATTCAACTCCTTTGCCCACTTTTGAATTCGGTTGTGTTGTTTTTTGTTGTTGAATTACAGGAATTCTTCATATAATCTGGATATTCAACCCTTATATTTATATGATCTACAAATTTTTTTCCCTGTTCTGTCAGTTATCTTTTTACTGCGTCCTTTGATGCACAGAAGGTTTTAATTTTGATGTAGCCCACTTACCTATTTTTACCTTGTTGCCTGTGCTTTGGTGTTACATCCAAAAAAATCACTGTCAAATCCAATGTCATGAAGTTTTTCCCGTTTTTTTCCTATAGTTAGTTTTAGCTGTTAAGTTTAGGTCTTTGACCCATTTGAGTTAATTTTTGTATGTTTGTGTACGTTGAAAGGTAGGGACCTAACTTCGTTCTTTTACACGTGGCTATCCAGTGTTCCCCCACTGAATGGTCTTGGCAACCCTGTAAAATCAATCGGCCACATGAGCAAGGGTTTATTTCTGGATTTGTTACACTCCGCATGTCTTTCCTTAGGCCAGGACCGATGTAGTGAGTTTCGGAATCAGGAAGCTGAACCCTCCAGCTATTCTTTTTTAAGATCGTTTTTGGCTAATTGGGAAAAAGGGTGTTTTGTTTTTTTTTTAATTTAACCCCGGTAAGAGCTATGTGAAATTTCTACCTTCTGAAAAATTCATTCTTCTTATAACAATTTCCTGCAACTATTTTCTGCTGTTTACTAAAGTATATCTTTATTCTCTTAATTTTAGAAGGAATATCCAGGCCAAAATGCAATTGTGAAGAGAATGCAGTCTCTCCAAATTGACTGTGTAGCAGTACCTCCAAGCAGGTCAAATTCGGGTAACTTACACAGTGATTGAAAATCTACTTTTTCACCTATGTGTCTGCTCATTCATCTACTGTCTAAAATGCCATTTACGATTATATGAGGAACAGAAGAAGCTATAAAACTGAATACCTGCCTTAAAGGAATATATATTTGGAGTTAAGATACATATATTTGAAATATTAAGTAACAACGTGTTCACCCAAATCTTACAGTATCTTGAATACAAGAAGTGTAATGTATCTGATGGGGAGGAAGTGACAACTCGGGAAAAAGAAAGGGATGTATGTATGTGGGAGCAAAGTCCTTGAGGAGGTCAGTGACGACAAGATCCAGAGTACATGCAGAGAGGAGAGGCTGGTTTCCGATTCAGGCAGGGACACTTTTTTCACTGTAGCAAAAGGGAAGGCAGAGTGTAAGATACTGAAGCCACTCACCAGCTGTCTGTTCCTTAACTTCTTGTAAGCCTCACCCGTCATCGTGACAATTACTCCTACTCTTGTAAGGCTTTTAAAGAATGAAAGGCTCCATGGGAACTGCTCAGCACAGAGGGGTGGCCACGCTGATTCTGCAGCGCTGCATCCCAGCAGGAAGACACTTCCTCTGCTCTTCCTTGGTCGTTCCTACAACAGCCCCTTTTCTGTTGCCTGTTGAACTCCTCTAGTGCTCTCCCACTGCCAGGCAGGGGCGACTGCATATTACCTACATGAGCCATAGGGGGAAAACTGCCTCATAAACACCTTCTATTTGTTCTCAAAGTTCTCAGTATGTTACTCTGAGGTCCAGATCCATGCTGGCACTCAGGTTTTGTTTTGCTTCTTTATGTTTCATGAAACGCTTTCCAACACTGATCATTTCTTTTCAGCCACAGAACAGCCCAGTTCGCTGCACAGTTCACAGGGACTCGGGATAGGTCCTGTGGAGGAGTCCTGGTTTGCTCCCTCCCTGGCGCATGAGCAGGATGAGAATGAGCTCAGCCTGCAGAGTAAACTCCAGGAGGAAGCCAACTACCACCTGTATGGCAGCCGTATGGACAGGCGCACAAAAGAGCAGCCCAGACAGAACGTGGCTTACAGCAGAGAGGAGGAGAAGAGACGAAGGGTCTCCCACGACCCTTTTGCACAGCAGAGACCTTATGAGGCTGCTCAGAACCCAGGGATAAAAGGCCCCACTTGTTCCGGTGCAACCAGTCACAGCAATGCAACACACCAACCAGCAGGGCTCACCAGCCAACCCCATTTACTATACTGGAGCAATGGATCATGTAGTCCACACGGGTTTGGAACAAGACCATTGGATCTGGGAGCAGCAGGTCCAAGAGTTTGGTATAGGCCAAATCCAGGCCATATGCCAAGCCTGTATAAAACTCCAGTGCCTGAGACCAACCTACTGGGAAACACACCCACCATTCCATTCAGCTCCTTGCCATCAAGAGGTAAACAGGCCTTCCAGTTACACTATTAGATTTTTAAATTTTTTTCTGAAAATAAAGTAGCCATTAGCTCTGTTGTAGACCCTAAGGTAGCAAAGGACAAGTTGTTTGGAGTCTTCAGTGCCAAATGCACCCTGCCACCTTGGACTAGTCCGCATCAGACCACTCGGCCTAGGTATATTTGTTGGGGTAGGATTCCCTGCAGCTGCCCACAAGTACTGGGGGACAGGTCCTTGTATCTAGTGAGCATCTTCCAGTCAAACCCCAGTCTCGGTGGTCTGCTCGTGTCCAGTCTTGGATGGAAGTGGAGGTATCTGCTTACATTCTTTCACTTGCTTGCTGTTTTCTGAAGGTAAGACGTAAGTCTTGGGTAGTTTTATTTATCTTCTATCGGCCAGAGACTTCCATTTGTGATGAAAAGCACAGTGCCGGGCCACCACCACCACCGTTCACCTCAGGAACTCTTTTCTTCTTCCCAAACTGAACTATACTCATCAGGCAATCACTCCCCATTCACTTCCCTCCTCCCAGCCCCTGGCAATCAACCTTCTACTTTGTCTCTATGAATTTGACTTCTCTGGTACTTCATATGAGTGGAATCATATGGTATTTGTCCTTTTGTGACTGGCTTCACTTAGCCCAATGTCCTCAAGGTTCATCCACGTTATGGCATGTGTCAGATTTCCTTTTTTTAAAAGGCTGAGTAATGCTCCATTGTATGGATGGACCACGTTGTGTTTACCCATTCATTTGTTGATGAACCCTTGGGTGGCTTCCACTTTTTGGCTGTTGTGAATAATGCTGCTATGAACATGGGTGTAGAAGTGTCTGATCAAGACCCTGCTTTCAATTCTCTGGGGTATATACCCAGAAGTAGAATTGCTGGATCATATGGTAATTCTGTTTTTAATTTTTTGAGGGACCACCACAGTGGCTGCATCTATTTTGTGTTCCCACCAGCAGTGCACAGAGGTTCCAGTTTCTCCGCATCTTTGTCAACACTTGCTATTTTCTGTATTTCTGATAGTCGCCATCCTAATGGATGCGAGGTGATCCAGCCACCTTCTAAAGAAGATTTCCAAGGGTGGCACAGGGTAAATAAGTTAACTTAGGCATTTGGCATAAAACCTTGCCCTCTTGCCATGTTGTTTTCTCTTGCTTTCGGTCTAGATGTACTTACTGCGTGTTTCTCTCTAATCAGACGAGTCTGTAAAATATACCATACACGGCAGTTCTGGCGTTCAGATTGGAGACCATAACTATATGGAGATCGGTGCAACGAGTTCTTCCGTCCTGGACAGCATGTTCATGAACGTGAAGGAAGAACCAGCTTCTAAGTACCAAGATATCTTTGGTAAGAAGCCCTTCAAGGACCCACTGTATAGCGAACTGGACTTTCTTACTCACCTAGTGTTTCTCTCATTATTCGCCCTGAAAGTTGCCCTCTCTTTCCTCTCTAAAATAGCTCTGTAATTTCCATGTAACTGCTTTCTAACTACTAATGTTTAATATGGGGACAATTAGACTATCTAATTCGTGGATTTGCTGTGAAAGTTAAACTAGTCAATATGAATAAAGAGCTTAGCACACTGCCTGGCCCAGAGTATCATCTATAAAAGTGTTAATCTCATCATCATCACCATCATCATCATTACTCCTTAGACCTAGGAGCAGCAGCTCCCTCAGGTCCTCATCAAAAAAAGCTTCTGTAAAAGACAGCAGACTCTGCCCTCAACTGCTCCTGTGCAATAAAAATAAGAGGGCTTTCTCTTACAGGGTCCCACTCTGCAGGCTCACAACATGAAACCCAAAACACAACCTGGGAAAAGCACTCACGAGGCCAGAACAATGGGATTTTAGAACCCAGCTTTCTAATTACCCTAGAACTGGCAAGTTTTTAGAAAATCAAGGGCCAGATAGTAAATGTTTTAGGCGTCAGCGGCCCTGAGGTCTCTGTTGCAACTGCTCAGCTGACACTGCAGCACAACAGCAGCCACAGACAACGTGTACACGATGAACATGGCTGTGTTCTAACAGAACTTTGTTTACAGAAATGAGCAGTGGGCCATCTTTGACCCACAGGCCATAGTTTGCCAATATCTGGTCTAACCCATTTGAAGGCTAGTCTTTAAATACCTAGAGCAGAGGTTCCTAACTTTTGGGGTGACAAGGGTACCTCTCCTAATGAAGTACTGGCCAAAGTTGGCAAATATCTTGGGAGGTTTTCGGACCGCTGATGTGCACTGGTGATGACAGAAGCCGCACTGTGGGGAGCTGAGGAAAGGATGGGCCTTGAGCAGAAAAAATAGGCTGTCTTTCTCCTTACACTCAACTCACTGAAGTAGGATGAGGATCAAGGAATATGGTTTGCTTGTGGTGTTGTGGTGGTTTTATACTTTTATTTGCTTTGTTCTATCATTTTTATGAAGGCCTGAAAGGAAGCAACCAACAGAAAGAGAGAGGTCATGGCTATAGGAGAAGAGAGGACAGCATTTGGGGTGGAAGAGGGATGAATCCCAAAATAGACCTTGAAGAGTATAGATACCTCATCCTTCAAAAGACAAGGGAAGGCCCTATAACTGAACAAGCTCACACTTGGTCTCAGTTCCCTCGATTAAGTGAGAGGAAAGTGAACTGCTGGGTGAAGGGTATCCAGAAATGAGTGACCTTAACTCTGGCCAGATGTAAATGGAAAATGCCCAAAAGGAACAAAAATGGTGTTTCCCCTTTTACATAAGGAAGGTCTAACATAAACAAAGGATGCTGGCTAAGGTTGTATAGAATAGCCTAGTAGCCAAGCAGTGGTTTTGTTCTCAAAACCATCAGCTGTGGCTCAGAGTCACATCTCCTAGGAGGAAGAGGTTCCCTGTTGTAATTCACACAAAGACTCCATATGGGTTAGCGGACACGTGAAGCATCATCCAGAGTCAACAACTATATAATTAAGAAGTTATCTTTTTCACTGTCTCCCCTGGCACTCTTCACTTACACAGATTTTTGAAGCTAGAATGTTCAAATGGTCATAGCTTGATGCCTCCTTCTCTTTTCTGTCTGGCAGGTAATAGCGCTAGTCTGACTGATAAACACCTGGACCCAGTCAGGGAAAATCTGGGAAAGCACTGGAAAAACTGTGCCCGTAAGCTGTACTTCACTGAATCTCAGATTGATGAAATCGACCACGACTATGAGCGAGATGGACTAAAAGAAAAGGTTTACCAGATGCTCCAAAAGTGGCTGATGAGGGAAGGCAATAAGGGGGCCACAGTGGGAAAACTGGCCTATGCACTCTACCAGTGTTCAAGAATAGACCTTGTGAACCATTTGATAAACATCAGCCAGAACTAACTGCTGAAGGGGCTTTTGCAGCAGGAGATGACTTCCTCACTTGGTGAGCGACGCACCGGAAGTGTACTGCCTCAGGTCGTTCAGAACTCTTTCCTGTCACGGGGTCTGTGTCTGGATAAAATATTTCCTGCATTTCACAGCTGGAGGACGGGAAAAGAAGTCTACAGCAAACAACCCACCGAACAGGAAGACCTGTTTGTGGCCATGGCCCGATCAAAGCAGCAGCTTAACTGGGTTTTGAAAGGGAGGGAAGAGATCCATGAGGAAGGTGATTTTCTTTCAGATTGTTTCATAACCGTCAGGCTGTTCATTCAGCTTCTTGGAGTTTTGTTTGAGCAAGCAAAATAATTCAGAGAACATAAACTAAGTCAACTTTCTTATTTTGTGCTCTTCTCCACATAGGCTCCTTTTATAACCAAAGTCCTGTAAAATTCTAAGTTCTCTTCAAATGAGGTTTTTTTGTATCACAAGCACAGTTCATTACAAAATTATAGGGTCTTTGAACTTCAGTATCAAATTCTGTTTTCAGTCACTATAGGCTTCAAGAATTATATGCAATCCTCACTACATAAATTGAGTAAGGGGATTTTAAGGCATACTAAGGAGGAGGGCAAAAAAAGAGAAAAGACAGCAGACTTTCCTAGCGTGCTGGTGCAAGGAATTGCTACTAACTGTGACAAGTACAAAAATTCTCAAGTTTTTATGTTGTTTCCTGGCATTTGATACTTTATGTACTTCTCCAACCTGTGTGCCCTAATGGAGGAGGAGTATGGGGGGGATATTGACCTCTTCGCCCCTGGCTATGACTGGAGCCTCAGGGAAGATGACTGTTGAGCAGTTTCCTCAGTTTACCGCAGGGTACTATAGAAATATTTTCATTTTTTGTGTGCGATTGTGATATAAAAGGACAGCTTCAGAGTCTGGTAATTGTGCCTCTAGGACTCAACCTTTCAAAGCCTACCTGAAAAAGACTGAGTGAAGGAACTTGAGGATTAGAAGACCGAAGTGACCAGGCCATTCAGCATCACTGCCAGCACTCTGCTAAACAGAGAGGGTGTGCCATTGTGCTTCGCCTCCCAGGAGAGTGGGAGAGAAGGGTGCAGGACTGTCAGTCTGGCTGCCAGAACAGATTCTAGTGTTTGGTGGGCTGAACACAGTATTGTTGGTTCTGATTCTGTATCTCCTCCAGTCCCAGCAGATACACACACACACACTCCTGAAGTGCAACTGTAAAGCAAAATTTCTCAACCTTGGCACTGCTGGCATCTTGGGCCAGACAATTCTTTGTTGTGGGGGCTGTCCTGTACGTTGTAGGATATTTGGAAGCAATGCTGGCCTCGGGTTGTTAGTGGTGCTCCCCCTCTGCTCCCCCTCGTCCCATCCCTTTTTTGACAAAATGTCTCTTGACACTGCCATGTGTTCCCCGGAGAGGCAAAACTGCCCCAGTTGAGAACAGCACTACTATGAAGTAATGGACCTGTTTTCTTGTCCATACATGTCTGGGCTCATGACCTGCTGCCACACAGCATGAAGTCACGTAGACCAAAAGGAAAAGTGGAGGGGGAGACAGTCCCAGGCTGGCTAGAGGGGGCTGGATGATTTCTTTTCTAAATGCATCCCTGTGTCTCTGTTCTAACAGTGTTCTAAATTCTCTAAATTCCTAAGAGATTGACTGCTAAATGATAAGAAGCAAAAATGCAAAATATCTTCACATCTCTCAAATAAAATTTTGAACCTCAAATCAAGCCACTGAAATGATGTGTGTATCTGTATAAAGGAAACAGTTTGAGATGTGAGATTCTCCGCGGTGACTTTACCACGCAGGCTGGCATTTTCTGTACATACTCTCCTTTTCACGCTCCTGCTGTTGGCAGGAGAGAGGAAGCTGGTAACAAAAGAGGAGCTTCTGGCAGCGCTTTCGGCTTTCAGGATGAAAAATCCACGGCCCTGAGAGCCTGCAGCACTGCTCAAAGGCCTTTCCTTCAGCCCCCACTCTCAAAAAACTGGGCTGAAAAGAGCCAAATTTGTATCTGAGGAGTTTCAACAGAAGGCCCAAGCACCACAAAACAGTAGTCTTGGGCAGAAACCAATTAAGTGAGATGACACAGACTGCAAAATGAGCAAGAAGACTAGCCACACTGGCTCCAAAAGGGGTATTCGGTCAGACCCTAAGGTTTATACTAGCAGATCTCACATCCTACTCAGCAGACTTCCGACTTCTTGCTATGGTCATAATCTCTGCTTTGGCTCCGTAATACGAAGTTAGGTCTTCAGGAGGAAGGAGTTATTTCCCACAAAATGTTTTAAGTAGTATTTTGATGTACAGTTTAATGTGTGGTGTTTATACAGAAAAGTTTTTCTAATTACAATAATAATGTAAATAAAAGGTGTTTATATGGCCATGGTTTAAGAAGCATTTGATTACAAAGTAATCACTGAAGGGCTAACGCTATTACAGTGGATTCTGTGATGTGTAATAATAGTCCAAGTACAGGGGTCTGAAATCAAGCCGCCTTAAGTTCCCCTCTGCCACTCCTTAGCTGTGTACCAAGGGCCTGCGTCTGAACCTCTCTTCGCCTATAAACAGCAACAGTACATAAGGTTGATGTGAGGATTAAAATAAGATAATGCATCATAAGGTGCCTGGCAGAAAAATAGGATTTTTTAAGTAGTTATTTTAAAATTGCACAACACTGTTACACACAAAGAACCGGTTCTCAAGCGCGCGCTTAAAAACCCTGGCGCCAATAACCTAAAACCTCAGCACTACCGTTTTTGCTTACCAGGAGGATAACTGGCGTTAAAATTGTACGATTATGTTTAATCCTCATCGTCTCTGACAAGAAACCCAATCAGGAAAAAACAGGATGTTGACCCCACCAAAGACTTCTGGAAGTCCGACAACTGCAGCAGAAATGTTACATGTTTCTCTTTTGTGCCACGCAGGAAACTGATGTGCTAGCTCCACGCTGAAAGAACGTAAGTATTTTAGCATAATCCACACTCAGGCCAAACTGCTCAAGAAACTCCGGCGGGCTGGCGAGGGCACTGCCGGTACCGACCTCCCCAGGGCCGGGACACGGGCGCTGAGCGCACAGGGCTGCGGAGCGCAAGGGTCTCTGCGAGGAGACACACGCCGAGACGCGGCGCCGCGGCTAACCCGGAGCCCGACCAGGGAGGGCGGGGCACAAGCCAGAACGGGGGCCGTGGGTGCCTGCCCGCCCCCCACCCCGCGCAGTGAATCTTCAGCTGCAGACAACGTTTACCACCTT